GTCGAATTGATTGTAAGATCGTTTTTTGCGTGCCAATTGTTTTTCCTTCCTCCATTCTAAAATTTGGGTTTTATTTGGAGTGAGGGTAGCAAGCTTGCCAAGGCTACATGGTCCTCCCTGGAGCCGAGATGGAATGCCTGACCACACTCTGTCCCCACAGATAAGAAACATCCCCTTGGGCAACACCTTAGGACGCGTGGACGAGACCGAAATGACCTGGCTGGTGTAATTGCACCAGGTCTGACTGTTGTATTTTTTGCTCAACGGTGTCACATCCTTCCTGTATGTGTTCTTGGCCAAGTCAATTCCATGCCAATTCTGACTTGGCCTCCTGTAATAAAATTTGACACAGTATTCTGCGTGAGAGGACCCCAATAAGTCCAATTCTTGGGGTTCCTCTTTGCTGTTCGACAGAATTTTGGTCCACTCGTCCCAAGTGTCAACCGGGTTAGGTCTCTTACCCGTGGTTCGGAGTAGGTCTGAGTTGTAAACTGGCCAATCGTCGGCGACCAGGGGAACCCCCACCAGGCATGTGGACAACGGGTTGTCCACACTGCCCATGGCCAAACACAGATTGTCCTGCTGCAAGGACTTGGCGAGCGTGACCCACACGTTCTCCTTCGGCTGCTGAACAATCCAGCCGTCCGCCGCTTGCAGCCACAAGATGACGAATGCCACGGCGACGGCCAGCTGGGCGCAGTGGGGCGATTTCTGGTGTTTCTCCCGGGTAGTTGTCACTTGGGCAGCCATCCTCATTCTATTAAAATAAAAGGAACTGTAAATAACAAAGGATTTGGTTCCCTCCCCTCCCAGCTCCCCCTTTGAGTTTAAATAGAAATTTAGGGTAGAGGGGCATAGGGAAAACGGGTAAGGTAAGGGGGTAAGGGAAAGGTAACTGGAGGGGATGGGTTATTTTGGGGTGTCGAGTCCAGAGGTGGGTAGTAAAGTCTGGTGATGAGGACTCGGGACACCAAGTTGGGACGGCTCCCGGTCCTCTTCATTCGTCGTCTCTTCCACGCGACTGCGTCGTCTGGTGTTGTGGGAGACGCAGTCTGTGGGTCCTGTCGCGTTGGTGGTTCTGCCGCTGGGGCATCTTCTAAGAAGGGCTTCACATATTTCCCCGGAATCCACTTTGGTCCATGAGCTGTTGAGACACAGGCATACCCTCTCCCCCAGGTTATTAGGGGAAAAGGCCCTGTGATGGCTCGGGATTCCGGGTCACGGACAAGGACCGGTGGGCGCTCCTTCAAAAGTGCTCGCGTGCTGTTAGTAAAGTGTCTGATGACGGGCGGGTCTGGCTCCCGGTCGGTGCAATTTAAAAAATTCAGCACATAAAGTGCTTTACAGAGTCTCTCGACCGGAGTCATCGCCAGCGCCGCGTCGTGTTGTTGGTCGAGCAACCTTTTGAGTTCTTTGTGGGAGCGCTCCACTATGGCCTGTCCTGTTGGGTTGTGAGGAATGCCGGTGGTATGTTTGATGCCCCATTGCTGCAAGAACTCCTCAAATTGTCTCGAGGTGAGTCCCGGGCCGTTATCAGTCTTAATTGCCTTCGGGACTCCCAGTGTGGCGAACGCCATATATAGATGTTTTTTGGCGTCCTTCGTCTTCTCCCCCGTGTGGAGAGAGGTGAAGATTGCGCCTGAAAAGGTGTCAATGGAAACGTGGATATATTTGAGGCGGCCAAAAGAGTTGTAGTGTGTGACATCCATCTGCCACAGCTCCAAAGCTCCCAGTCCCCGGGGATTGAGCCCTGATGCCACCGGTGGAAGGGCAAGGGACTGACAGCTGGGGCAAGTGGCGAGGATGGCCTTGGCCTGCTCTTTGGATATCTTGAATTGTCTGGCAAGGGCAGGAGCGTTCTGATGAAAGAACGCATGGCTGAGCCTTGCTTGGGCGAAAATGTCTGGGATGGTGTTAGAGAGTGAGTGTACAGAAGAGGTCGTGGCAACAGTGGCCATAGCTAAGTGGTCTGCCCTCCGGTTACCCTCAGCGATGGCTCCTGGCAGGTCTCTGTGCTCTCCGAACGTGCATTATGTGATAGGATTGCTCGCGGTGGGAGACCAACCAGATTAATTCCGTGAGCAACCCGAATAATTTCTTGTTTTGAATTTCTTTGAGCATTGCATGTTCTGCTCGCTCTGCTATCCCAGCCACATATGCCGAATCAGTCGCCAGATTAAAAGGTTGTTGAAATGTTTTGAATGCTCTCACGACCGCGGCAAGTTCTGCGATCTGGGGGGAACCCTCAACTATTTGGATGTCAGACTCCCACTTCTGACTCTCCGGGTCCTTCCACGTGATCACTGATTTGTGGGATTTTCCCGATCCATCAGTGAACACTGTGAGAGCATCTTTGATCGGTGTTTTACTTTTGTACGATTTTGGGGCTAAACAGAAAGTGTCCTTGAATAGCTTATGCTTCGGATAATGTATGGAAATTTGGCCAGGATAGCTATCTAGAGAAATTTGGAGATTTTCATTTGTTTGCAACAGTGATTCCAATTGCTCCAAATTTAGAGGTACATAGATGCACGCCGGATCGCACCCTGCGAGGGTCCGGAGGCGTTGTCGGCCTTTGATTATGAGTTTGGCCATCAATTCTGCGGGTGTGGAGATGGTTTTCAGGGGCTGGTGCGGAAGGAACAGCCACTCGATGATAAGGAGTGGGTCCTTCCGGCCTGCATCCCACTGAAACAGCAACCCATGGAAGTTTGGGCACTTACCCAAGATGGCGAGGGGGATGGGAAGGACCCGGTCCACACAGTGCGCCTGGCGGGATCCGATGGCCTCCGCAACTCTCTCCAGGGCTCTCTTCGTGGCGGGTGTCAGCTCGCGTGGAGAAGCCAGGTCGCCGTCTCCTCGCAGGAGTTCGAAGAGGGGCGCCGGCTCCTCCGTGGTGAGTCCCAGGAGAGGTCGGATCCACGTGATGGTTCCGCAGACCTGCTGCAGATCCCGCAGGGTCCGTGGGTCGTCTTTGATGGTGACAGACTGGGGCGCGACAGTCCTTCCCGTGACCGTGATGCCCAAATACTTCCATGGGGCGGAGAGCTGGATCTTCTCCTCCGCAATCTGGAAACCCGCGTCCTTGATGGCTTTGATGGTTTTGTTGAGTGCTGCGCGGAGGTAGGTGGTCGTCTCCGCGCAGACAAGGACATCGTCCATGTAATGAAGGATGACGGCTTCGGGGAAAAGTCGGCGGATTGGCGATAAAACCTGTGCCACGGATGTTTGGCAGAGCACTGGAGAATTTTTCATTCCCCTGGGGCAAGGTGGTCCATTGATACCTTTTATAAGGTTCCGCCCGACTGATGGATGGTACGGAAAAAGCGAACCTGGGGGCATCTCCTGGATACAAGGGGATGTTAAAAAAGCAGTCCTTGATGTCAATGACTGCGAGCTGCCAATCTCGGGGAAGCATGGAGGGTGAGGGAAGCCCAGGCTGGAGGGGGCCCATGTCCTCGATGACATCATTGACCCTGCGGAGGTCTTGGAGCAGGCGCCACTTGTCTTTGCCTGTTTTTTTAATCACAAAGACAGGAGTGCTCCAAGGGCTGGTGGAGGGTATTAAATGCCCAAGGCGCACCTGCTCTTCTACAAGTTCATTGAGCGCATTTAATTTTTCCTCCACAAGGGGCCACTGATCCACCCACACCGGAACATCGGTCTTCCAATTCAACGGTGGGGAGGTGCGCTCCGCAGTGGCCCTCACTAAAAATCCCACGCAGGGCTAGGGATGTCAAGGCGGGCACCCCACTGGGACAATACGTCCCTGCCTAATAACATGATGTTTGATGACACAACAAAGGGCCGAATGGTGGCTATTTGTCCCTCTGGTCCCTCCACACTTACCAGGCGTCGACTGCGCATGGAATTGACAGCTCCGCCCACTCCGGAGATTGTGCCGCAAGGGGGCACCAACTCCCAGTCGCGGGGCCACTTTGACCTGGGAATGATGGTGACATCCGCCCCAGTGTCTGCCATCAGGTTCATCGCCACCGACTTTCCCTGTAAAGAAATGACAGTCCTGATTATGGTCTTTCTTTGGTAACATTCTGGGTGAGAAAAACGTGAATGTCCTGTTCCGGGTCCCGTCCAGAGAGGTCGTCCGAGTCGAGCAGATAGAGCAAGGCGAAGGGGAGCCCTTTGCCCAGGGTGTAAGGGGGCTCGTGGCAAATGACCGAGACCGTTACCTCGGACCCCAGCAGGACACACACCACTTCAGGGATGATGGAAATCCTGTCTGGTGTGTGCCTTGCGTCGCCGACGATGAGGACGGTCGCTTCGCCTTGGCAGTGAGGGGGCTCCAGGAACCCCGCGGGGACTCTCACCAGGTCCTCATCCTGGAAGGTGACGGTGACGGAGCTTCTGAGGACCTGGCGGCGGCCGGGATCTAGGTTGGCCGTTCTCCGGAGGAGGCGAAGTCCGTCGTCTGTGCTCCGCCAATCCTCCGAAACTGTCCCCTGGGCCATTGGTCCTCCCTGATAGTAGGGAGGCTCGGGCGCTGAGAAGGGCCATTTGATGTTCTCGCGCGGCCCCTCCTCGCGCTCCGCGGCCCGTTTCCTGCCGGCTGGTATGGCGGGAATGAGTTCCTGGGTGGGGGTCTTGGGGAAGGTGCATACGGGTGATGGCAGAATGCATCGGGGGGGCAGGGGCAGTTGGCTTGAATGTGCCCCATTTGGCCACACCCGAAGCAGCGCATGTTGTTTAAGTTCAGCATGGCCTCCCCCACCCCTTTGCTCACTGCCATGGCAACCGTTACCTCTGTAGATGAGGCCTTCACGCACGCCTCCACCATCTGGGTGATGGTGGGCTTGGGGTCCTGCGGTAACGCTCTTAAGATCTTCTTCGTCTCCGCTGAGGCGTTGGTCATTGCCATCTTTCGGAGGAGCTCTTCCCTTGCCGCACGGTGCTCTATCTGCTTTTCGATCGCCTCTCTGAGGCGGTCCACGAACTTGATGAAAGATTCGTCCGGTCCTTGAAGTATTGGAGAGAAACTTTGGGAGGGAGTTTTGCCGTCTGGGATCTTCAACAGCGCGGCACGGCCAGCCTCTCGGATGTCATCGAGGAGCGGTGTCGGAAGGGGGACTTGGTAAGTGGGTGCTGCAGAGGCTCCGGCAAGGCATCAAAAACGCCGGCCCCGCACCCAAGGGTGGCATGAGACCTCCTCCAGCTCCGGCCTGTCCGCAGGCTGCTTGGCCAAACACCATCGGATCAGGTGCTGGAGCTCTGGGGAGAGAAGCCAGAAAGCGCCGGTCACCGGCAGAGTCTCCTGCCCAGCTGCCCCCGTCACCCGCAGGGCCCGGGCCGTGCCAGGCTGGGCTCTAGGCCGTGCCGGACTCCCAACCGGCTCTGCCCCGCGTGGAAGAGCGGCACGGCGGGACGCGGCCGCCTCCTCCGGCCGCCCGTGCCGCGCTGACCCCGTCGAGCTGCGTGAGGGCTGAGCCGGGCTGCGTGCCGCCACCTGCCAAAGCCCTCCGTCTTGAGGCCGGACACCCACCTGGAGAGACCTGCCGCTGGAAGAAGACCTTCCCCAGCACAATGTCAGGGTCATCCTGGAAGGGGAGGCTGCCGCAGACCATGACGTACAGCAGAACGCCCAGGGACCAGATGGTGGCCGCGTGGCCGTGGTAGTAACCCAGCCAGATCCACTCGGGCGGGCTGTACGCGTGCGTTCCTAGGGGAGACAGGCGGCGCTGGCCGGGCGCAGGCTGCTGCCTTCCAGAGCCTGGCACCAGCCCCCTGGCCGAGGCAGGGGCTGCGCCCGTGGCCACAGCTTCTCCCCGAGGCCACCCCGCGTCCCCCAGCCAGCTGCCCAAAAGCAAGGAACCATTCCGCAAGGCCAAGAAGGCCAGCGGAGCAGCCCAGGCCCTTGTGGGCCCGCTGAGCCCCAGGGCCAGGAGCCGCTTTTGCCACCCCCTCTGTCGGCAGGGCCGGCAGCCGGCTCCTGGGGCACGGCATCCGCCCCGTGCCAGAGGGCAGCCGGCTGAAGGCCGCAGCCCGCGGCCCAGGAGGGAACGGGGCCGTGCAGTGCCTGGCACCGGGAGCAGGGCTCAGGCCATGGGCTCACCGGCAAAGCCCGAGAAGGCCTGCTCCTGGAGGAAGGTGCCACAACCGAAGTCGATGAGCTTCAGGTCGCCGCTCTCCGGGTCCACGAGGAGGTTCTCTGGCTTGATGTCCCGGTGCAGGACGCCGCAGGCGGTGCAGTGCCGCACGGCCTCCAGCACCTGGCAGAAAAGCCAGCGCGCCTGCTCCTCGCACAGGCACCCCTGCTCCTGCAGGAACTGCAGGAGATCCTGCGATGCCTGCGGACGCTCCAGGACCAGCACGAAGCTGTCGGGCAGCTCAAACCAGTCGAGGAGCTGGATGATGTTGTGGCAGCCAGAGCCCACCTTCTCCATGAGCGCCACCTCCATGGGCACGCGGGTGCCGTCGGGCTGTGAGGAGGAGAAAATCAGTGCCTCTGGCAGGCTGCTGCTGCTGCTGCTGCTGCTGCTGCTGCTGCTGCTGCTGCTGCTGCTGCTGCCCTGGGGCTGCGCTGCGCCCTGCCCGGGATGCCCCAGTGCCCCCTGCCGCAGCCTCCCTGGCGCTTGCGCTTCCTCCCGCCCGGGGGATGCTCGGGGCTGCCCCTGCCCGGCCCCAGCACCGCTGTTCGGCGTGCCCAGGCCCGCGGGGCCGCGGCTCCGCTCGCTGAGCCCGGCCCGGGATTCTCCCTGCCCGCCACGCCCCGCTCTGTCCCGCTGGCCCCGCTCGCTCACCAGCTCGTCCCACTGCAGGACGCTCTCCCGGGCCACGCGTTTGAGGGCCACCTGCGAGCCATGGGGAGAGGAGGGCTGAGCTCCAGCCCTGCCCCTCCCCGCCGCTGCCCCTCCTCCCCCGCCCGGCCGTCGCGGCCACTCACCGGGCTGCCGTCCGAGAGGCGGATGCCCGAGAAGACGGTGCCGAAGCCGCCGCTGCCCAGCTGCGGGCCCCACAGGTACAGCTCCTGCCGCTGCTCCCTTTGCCCTGCGGCCAAGAGCGAGCCATCAGCCTTGCGCCCAGGACCCGCCCCTCCCGCAAGTGCCGCGAGTGGAGCGGGCCGGGCCCCGCGGGCCGCCGCGCTCTCACCCGCTTCCTGCTGCGCGCCGGGCAGCGGCCGCCGCCCTGCAGCCGCCGGGCTGGCGAGCGGCAGAGCCGGGCCGGGGCTGCGCGCACAGGCGGCTGCGGCAGCCCCGGGCCAGCGGGGCAGGGCGGCACCGGCGCTGTCCCCGGCGTCGTGGGCTGGGCTCTGCTCCTGCCGACGGCCGGGGCTGCAGCCCGAGGCTGGGCACAGGGGGATCCCAGGAGCAGCTGCAAAGCAGACAGGGCTTTTTCAAGCCGGGCCATCGCAGGCACTGGAAACAGCCAGCGACTAGGCTGCTGTCAGGGGCCCTGGCCTGGCCTGGCCGTGCCCCTCCAGAGCCCCGGGGGAGCCTCAGGCAGCTCCTCAGGAGATCTCACCTGCTACTAGAAAGCTCTTTGCGGCACTCAAGGGCTGTCTCGGGGCAGCTTGCTGCAGATGGAGGAACCTCCGTGGTGTCTGGAGGACCATCTCCACCGCCAGGCTCGGGCTGTGGCCAGCTGGCAGAACCGGCACAGCGTCCTGGCTGTCCTGGCCGCTGTGGGATGACCACTGCTGGCTCCAGGACGCTTGCTGCCCCGCCAGCTGCTCCTGAGCAGGCTCCCCTGCATCGGGCTGGGCTCCCATTTGGACTTGTGGGCTTTCCCCTGCCACGTCAAGGCTCAGGATTGCGCCCACGTTGTTGAAGTCTGTGAGTCCAAGGGAGCTGGGAGACCTGTCCACGGGCTCTGCTCCTTCCGCAGGCTGACAGGTCTCACTGAGCCTCTGTGAGGGATGGCGGCTGTCAGAGATAGCAGAGGCTCTTGGCAGGATGCAGGGCCTCTGACAGCCTGAGTTTCCTGCATGGATGGTGGTGGCTCCCCCCTGCTGTGCCATCCTTGCAGGCCTTGAGGCTCTCCCAGGGCTGGAGAATCTTGCTGGGAGCAGCCTCTGGAAGGGATGGAGGCTTCTGGAGGAGCTGGCTAAGCCACAGCAGGGCAGGTGGCCTCGCTTCAGCAGCTCCTTCAGTTCTTTCCACAAGGCCTGCCACATCCCAGAGTAGAGCGGCGCACGTGTCCCGTTGCCATCCCAGATCTGCAGCATCAGTTCCTGCAGCTCCCGGGCCACTGCCAGGCAGGGGCCACAGCTGCAGGGGCTGCCCAGGGGGCTGGCGGGAGCACGTGGCCGCTTGCCAGGAGTCGCCCGAGGCCTGGGGAACCTGGGAGTCGCAGGGGCTCCTCGCTTCCTCCGTGAGCCTCTGGGCCAGGCCCCGGGGCGCTTGCTCCACATCGCTGTCTGTGTCTGCCGGCTCCGTTGTTGCCGGTGGCCAAAGGCCCACCAGACAGCCAGGGCGGCCAGCAGCAGGAGAAGCGCAGTCACCAGGACGTCACCGTCACCCATGGCTCCGGCAGGTCCCATCGTGACTGCACTGGCAGCTGCGGGTGCTGGCCCGTCTCACACAGCGACAGCGCGCTGATGTCACAGCGATGTCACAGTGCTGCGGCCAGCACAGCCCTGGGACATCACAGCCCTGCCTGACGCCAATTTGTGCCATCACAGCCCTGCCTCGGCCCCGCCTTCCGCAGTGCCCCAGGAGGGGTAAGGGGGCTCCCTATGGGCACTTGCCATCTCTTTTGGAGCAGAGTGGGCGGAAGATTCTTCTTTAAGTAGCACACAGGGATGAGGAGGGGAATGTTGATGATCTCACCTTCTTGCTGGCAGAGCATGGGACATGGGTCGTCCAATAGGACACTGCAAAGTCCTTGAGGAGGGCAAGTCCCGCACAGCAACATCCAAGGTATCCGTGTGCTATCTACCACATTCCCATCCTGAATCCAAACGCAGGTCTTTGCTGCTCCCTGGAATGAAAATGGATCCTATCCCATTGAAGACCAGTACATCAGCCCCTTCTTCACCGCACACACCCTGTCTCTGTTCGTCTCATACCTGGACTCCTGCTCCAGATGTATTCTGCGAGGGACAGGATCAAAACTGCACATCATATCCTGAAATTGAACCTGCATAGTCTTCCCATCATCCATGAGACGGGTGACCTTATGGTAGTGGCATAATCAATCAGACAGGAATTTCCCTGACCGCGGACTCGTGACTGACACCATGAAAGGTCTCAAGTGGCAGCATTTTATTATTCCCCAGTACAAACTTTTATACCCTTTTACCTCATATGCGTATTATCTGTGTGCCCTTTTACTCTTTTGTGGTTGGTCAATAAACATCAGTATTCCATGCTTCTTTTCCTTCAGTTCTGTTCACCTGTCTTATACAGCTGCACCCCATTAGGGACAAGGCTCGGCCACAGCCCCATTCTCTCCGTCCCATAATCTGTTCTCCTGCATTTCCCTCCGTTATCTCACGCTGCCCTGTCCAGATGCTGGCGCCGTCCTTCCATCACATCCCAGTAGTGCCAATGACGGCCTTTCCTGCTATCAAGATGAGATTATCAGGGCTGGAGTTTCCTGGTGTCATTGTTTGACACTGGCACAACACAATGCCAGTGCCCCCATGAACATGCAACCTCTTAATTGAATGCTGTGAAATGCGATTGAGGACAGAGCAAAGCAGGCCCAAGCTTAATAAAAAGGAGGAAAAAAACTTTATTAAGCTACTACTACTATACTACTATAAAAGGAAAAAGAAAGGAAAAAAAATCCCGCACACACAAAATGGAAAGTGAAAACCTTCCAAAGCATTCCTCCTCCCACCACCCAACTCCAACAAATCATAGTGAGACACAACCTGGACCCCAATCAGGTTTCCACCCTCCAGACAATTGATACTCAGTCCATTGAGGGAGAGAGGAGCCCCTCCTGTGCCACAGACCCGCCCCCCGAAGAAACACAGCTGCCACACCCTGTGCTTCCATGTCAAACATGGCACTGTCCAGAGAAAAAAGTTTGCCAGTGGTGACCCTCTCCTTTCCATGCATAGTGCTCTCACCACCAATGCATGGATGGACAGACTGCTTTTAGGATTTTTCCTTTCAAGGATGCCCTGCCAAGAGGGGAAAAAACAACAGTTCAGTTTTTCATTTTTGGGACCATAGTCCCCCCCATTTTTCCCTGGGGCCGAGGGTCCAAGAAGAGAGATCTTCTTCTCTTCTTCTTCTCTGAAGACAGGGGGCACCACCATAAACCTCCCTAACTTTTCTCTGTTCGCTCCACTTCTGTCTTTTCCCAGCTGAAGCAGGTCTCTTTGGCTCACCAGCATCCTCCTAAAATACAGTCTCTCTTGGAGGAGATCGGTTCAGTCTGTGGCTACCAAGAAAAAGTCCAGACAAAAGCCACTCCATCATCTCCTCCCACCTAGAATTTCTCCTTCTAACATCCCAGGGTCCAAGCTGTCTCTCTTCCTCTCTTTAAATTTCTATCCAACCTCCATTTGCTAAATGGAACCACCATTAAAGGTATTGGCAAATGGAGGCTGGATAGAAATTTGTGAAAGCTCAAACTTTACACGTTTCCTCTGGCAAATGGCAGAGGCAAATGGCAACGTTTCCTCTGCTATTTACTGTGTAGATAAAGCCCACAAAAGAAAATTGATTACACAGTCAGTGTAAAATAACTTACATGGAGACCAAAAAAATAAAAGTGAAAAGGGTAAGAGAGACTGTTCAGACTGGGTTCCCTTGCCAAGCTTGATCAAGAGATTATGTTTGAAGGATTTAGCACAACTTAATCATTGACTAATTTAACACTTACCAGTGAGCTCTGGGCAGCAGAGGGGCACAGGAGCTTCAGTGATGTCAAATGATGTCCAGACCTCTGCTTATAGAGCTGCAAGATGCACCTGTCTGTCCCCAGGTTCATTCAGGTGAACCTGTAGACAGGAGAAATATTTTAAAAAGGCCTTATGAAGTCAGGCCTGGCTTTGCTAAATCGCCAACGCTGCCCTGTCACCTCTTCCACATGCAGCTATCCAGCAGTTTGCACATTCCCATGTGAAGTTATTTTGAGGATGAGAACTTTGCTAATGAAACAACCTATTCTGAGGGTGAAAAACAAATGCACCTGCAATAACAAGGGGTTTGTCCCATGAGAACCAGTAGAAAAAAATATGTAAACAGTCCAAGAATGGTTAGTAAAATGATATTTACTAACCAATGAATTAGGTGACAAAAAAACCACTAACCAATGGGAGCCACATGAGGTCTATGAAAACCATATAAAAATCATTATGTGAATAAAGAACCATCTTTCCTGCATGAAGAAAATGGATTCTTGGCTGATTTATTCCATTAATTCAGGCACTAATGTGATGTCCCAGGGGCACTGGGGATCACCGAACACCCCTTGTGCCACTCCTTGCTCAGAAGGGACAGGGCTGACCCTGACTCAGACATTCAGGAGTTTCAGGAAAGGACCAGGAAACAGAAAAACTCCTAAATCAAGGCTTAATGAGGATCCCTGGATTCCTGGGATTTTAGGGTCTGGATTCCTGGGATTGTAGGGTGGCCAAGGAGCAAGGGGGGAGGGGCCAGGGGAGGGAAATGCACAGTGTATGTTCTTGTAAAATTACTTTTCTACTTAACTTCACTTACTTTTCTACTTTTACTTCAGTGTAAGATTACTTTTCTATTTAATGTTAGGGCAATCAGGGTTGGAGCCAAGCTAAGTGGCAAGATTAGGCAAAGGTTTGGTGTAGTCAGAGCCTGTAAGAGTAGAGAGTCCATTAATACATCCTGAGTGAAGGGAAAATCTCAGAGTGGACAGTTGTTTGGATAGAGGATGGATTTAACTGTTGTTCCATTACTATTTTTCTTAGAAATATACACGTATTTCTTGATGAATTTATTCTTAATACAATTATCAATTATTTAGCCCAGTTAATTCTATATGTTGCATAATAGAACAATTAATCAATATGCTTTTCCTCTCATGTTTATTCCCCCAAAACAAAGCTCAATTAATATTGTAATAGCGCTTCAGGCACCACTTAAATCCCTTAGAAATTAGAACCCTGCAGCATCGTGTTGTATAAAAGCAGGAATGGTGCTGATCCTAGAGTAGATAGAGACAGCAAGAGGAAAACGAGCAGCAAAACTAAATAGTGAGAAAAAGATGGCAATCTAACAGGCAATACCCCAAACACTTTCTGTACCTGCTCCTTACAGTTTTATATATCAGTCACAGGAAATTAACTGGTTTGACTGGATAATACCCAGAACTTGTTCCCAGCTGGGAGAATTGAGGTCAAGATCAGAGACAAAGAAATCTGTCAGTACAGTAAATACAGTGGAATAACTACCTTACACAATAACAACAAACAACTACTTACAAATAACTACACTCACCTTACACAATTGCTTTGGTAACAAGACCCAGTTTAATCTAATGCAAATGTTGAGGCAGAAATGATAGCAGAGGAAACTATTACTGTTGAATGCTATCTAATAAACCTAAAACATAATATTATCATATTCTACTATTTCGCCTCTGAGTCAAGGACTAAGAAGTCATAATAAATTAATCTTTTGAATCAGATTTTTACGCTTGTTGCTTGCAGATTAGGTAAGCATAGCTGGAAAAGTGTCACCATGTATTGATACTGCAATATCAATATTGGTATGCTTTGCCCTACCAGTTTGATGCAGTTATCTTCCTATTCAAACAGTTAATAAAAGTTTTATTAACTATTGGCTGCTATTCCACATGTCCTGTTTCTATTTTAACTAGTGTTCACTCACTTTTTTGGGGGGGACACTTTAGTTGCTAATATCGTTGCTGTTATTGTTCATTTTCTCTACCTCATTTCTGCTTCCTGTAAATTGTTCTTATCTCAACATGCTATTTTTCCCTTTTTAATTCTCCTCTTTGGCCACCTTTGGGTGGAAGGGAGGGGGGAAAGAGCAGTGAGTGAGCAGCGAGTGTTTCTGGAGTCTCAGTGAGGGTGTTACCAAGAATCAGTGAAAGAAAAAACTCCTTAACCCTAATTTAGGGTGTTAATATTTTACTGCACATTGGGAATTAGATCCAACATTTGGGACACCTTTTTCTTTTTGCCACTGACATCATTCCAAGTTTTAGGTTCAAAACTACATTTTTAGTGGAGTAGGCATGAAATCCTAGAGAGCAGCGTTATTGACTGGGATTTATTTGGATTGCAGACAACTGGTGACACAACAATTTTAACATTTTTTCCACTTGCATGTGCACCCCTAGAGGGATGAAAAGGCAAAGAAAAGCACAAGAAATAAATCAGTGTTGACATTTATTGTCCTGGCAACCAATTATATTTTCATTGATATGAACTGGATTTTGGGAACTAAAACAAGATATCAAACTGCAAAATGTTGAAGTGTTAATTCCACACACTCTGTTGTGGTCTTCCAGTACAGCTGCCAAACTTCTGCATATAGCAAATTCAAACAACAAATAAAAACT